TACGGGAAAGTAACAGTAATCTAATTACCTTTTCTGCAATAGTAATCCCTTACTTTACACGTTACTCAAAAAAAGGAATCAGATTACAGTAACGCGTAGCCCATCTCTGGTGGCCACCCATGGCTCCAATACCATTGTGAAGTTTGCTGATAGCACAGTGGTGTTGGGCGGCCTACATGGATAAAGTGGATCTCCTCAGTCCTGGCATGGTCTGCCCACATTCAGGTCTAATCCAAAAAGGCTAGGCAGTGCCTCTATCATCTCCGACAACTGAGGAAGTTCAGGGTCTCTCCAGGGATCCTCAGGACTTTCTATACAGGCACTGTGGAGAGCATCCTCCATCACATCACATCCTGGTATGGGAGCAGCTGTGTCAGAGAACTGATCCATATGGCAGAACGCTGCTGCAGGGAAATTGAAGGCACCATCCGTCTCACTCTCAGAGAGGAACCAGACCCTGGCACAGGTCTACCCAATCGTCAATATGTACCACGATCTACCCATGGAGCTGCCCTCCCTTGGGTCACCCAGGTGTGAGTTGAACAACTTCGCTATTAAAACCTCATTTCTGGTGGGTGTCATTGGTTTTCCAAAGGAGCACATTTTGTTCCGTTACATAAGCTACCTACAGCCACTGAGACCCCCCTGGATAGGAACACTATTAGTTGAAAACTTGCCATATTTTTGCATGGTGCACAGTTTGTCCTCAATAAATTTGAGGAAACTACACAAATTGTAAATGAAAGAACAAAAGTCAGACCTAAAGCAGCAAATGAGCAGTATCTGAAAGACAAAAATTCAACAAAGACCTAAGTGACTATCAAGAAACATTTCTTAAAGAATTGAAATAGGGAGAAAAAGCTAGGCTATGTCACAATACAGAAAAGATGGACTGAAAAGTAGTGGCAACAAGTTATGGAGTGATTAATACAAATTAGAAATTTTTGGTTCATTGTTAATATTTACAGAGGACATCAGGAGAGATGTACAAGATTGAGTGTCTACACCAATCTAATATAGTGAATGCGCTGTTATGGATGGGGCTGCATTTCAGCAAGTGGTGCTGGGGATTATAAATGCAGTGGCTTAATTTTTCAATATGACAAAGATCCGAAAAAAAACTGCCAGTGCAGTAAAATTTGGATAGAGAAACACAAAATGGAATGATATTGGTCACGCAGTGACTCCACGGAGCTCAGGCTTCAACATTATTGAAGGGATCATTTTGACAGAAAACAAGTAAAGGCATTCAACCACCAAAGAACAGCTTTGGAATTACCTTTTTCCCAAAGATTGTTTCAAAAAATTACATGAAAGCGAAAGAGAGAAAGAAAGTTAAGGCTATGAAGGAATAAAGAATAAAGGATACAAATCTAGAATTGACTTTCAAGTTCATTAGGAAACGTTTTTGATTATGTCAAACATACTGTATTTTGATGTATGCTTTTCCATGTTTCAAGAAATTGCTGGACCTATTTACCATTTATCTAGCAAAATACATAGAAATGGGGGTGGCTCAAAACTTTTGCACATACATTTATCAGTATGAATGCATGTGTGTTTTTCACATTGGGCCATGTAGGTTTGTCCCCCCCTTTAATAATAACATCTTCATTCACTGAATTTTGTGTTTACTTGTGTTATCTTTGTGAAATACTTAAATCTGTTTGATGATCTCAAACATTTAAGTGTGGTAAATATACCAAAAACAAATTTGGGAAATCATGAAGGGGACAAACACTTGTTCACACCACTGTAGATGGCTTCTTGCACTCCTCTTTTAAGCCATCTATCTTCTTCTTCTTATCCTTTAGATGCAGATAGACAGCTGAATTTTGTCTTGTTGAAGTGGCTCTTCTATGTTGTGCCATGGGTTTACTGAGTGGCTGTTTCTTTTCTCCAGTGTATGTCCGAGCCTCACCGTACTGCATAGCATACACTATTTTGTTTGTATGCTATGCAGCTATTTTGTTTAGCTTGCGTTTGGGAGTTTTCTCCTTGGGATTAACCAGTTTTTGTCTGAGGGTGTTGCTGGGTCTGAAGTACACTGGGATGTTATGCGTGAATAAAATTCTCTTGAGTTTCTCTGATAAACCTGATAAACAAAGAATGACAGTGTTGTTCCGTTTGTCATTCTGTTTGCCCAAAGTTGGTGTCAGACCTTCTCTCCTGTGCATCTTTGCTGATTTGATGAAGGCCCAGTTGGGTTTGACAGTTTTCTTTAGATGTGTGTGTTCTTTTTCTTTCCCTTCTGGCTTAGAGGGAGCGTTTTCTACCCAGTGTTGCAGGGTCCTTATTACTGCAAATTTGTGTTCCACAAGGTAGTGGGAGTCAAAGAGTAGATACTGGTCTGTGTCTGTGGGCTTCGGGTAAACTTCAGTGTTAAGGTTTCCATTCTCCTCAATGTGCACTGCAAAAATGGCAAACTATTATTCTGTAACTACTGTACTCTGTACCACCATTTGGTTTTGGAGCTAAAGAAGATTCTTGGTTGAGAGATGAAACGTCCTCAAGAAACTTAAAGAAATTTCATGATGAGGTTCTTTCCAAGCTCCTTAGGCTACATAAAATGGTGAATCTCTTGGTATTATCACAGAAGTGATGAACAGATTTCAGTCCAGTATCTCTGATGTAGATATCACAGATGTAGAATGTTCTGGAAAGGAAATTAACCATCTATTTTTGTCTTTCCTGCAGATTCCAACCTGATATTGCAGTTAGCATTATAACTCTCTCACTCGTATTCCTAATGACCCAAACTGATTCTCCAGAGGCTTTCAGCCACTTTGTGGATAAGAAAGGTGTGCTAATTACAGCTTTCATTCCTTTCGTTCCTTGTGAATTCTAATAGGAAACCAAATGGTCTACCCAGACCAGACTGCTTGGTAGCTTCAATATAGTCTCAGTACAGCGTCTTTACAAGAGTTTCAAAGGGACAAGCTCTCACAGCCACATAAATCACTGCACACTCAAAAACAGCAACTAAAACTGGGTTAGAAATGGATTTTCATTAAACACTCTGGGGCCTAATTTCAGAGGTTTGCTGCCTAACAATGCCATCACAAATCAGATATTTTCATTATTTTCAATTTACAAGCGAAGCTTTAGACACCTATTTCATTTGATTACCTTTTCTGCAACATTAGGTGTGTGAAGCTGATCTAGGCTAACAGACTGTAGATTCTGATATGACACAAGGTGACAGGAGCTTCCGATCAAGGAGACAAATTGTCAACCCTACAGCTCCTCATTCTTCAGCTCAGCGAGGAAAAGCTTTTACGTGCAGATGTCCTCTTTGCTCTGGAAAACATGAAACTGTCTGCTTGCCTTTACTTTCAGCAGTTACATAAAATAGACTGTTATTTATAGTGCAAAGACAAAGACATTAGAATAGAAAGATTTATCTTCTGCAGAGTAGGAATGGGAACAGAACATTTTATGATATTGTTGGTGGGAAAAAGAAAAAGAAATGTATCTTCTGGAGAGTCTGAATACCAAGAGCAAATGCAATGGAAGCCTAACAATAGTTTCTGGGAGGGGTCAGCAATTCCGCAAGAAAAAAAGACAGTGGTATTGTCAGTGGTATTTCTAGTACACTAAACTAGATGGAGATGAATAGTTTTCTATATTTAAATTTATATATTTTCTATATATATTTAAATACACTCAAGTTGGAGAACACAGGATGTTACATTAATTTTGCTTCGAAAGACAGTTGGAGGTCTAACAGGACAATTATCTATAAACTAAACCTGAACTTAAAAACACAGACATTGCACACAGTCCTGTGGTTTAAGTTTACCTAGTCCTGCATTTATATACATTAATATAAACCAAACACACATAAGAATAGGACAGGATATTTGATCATTAAAATATTATTCACGTGTAGGTTGACTGACAGAGCTATGAATCATAATATCCTCTCTCTCTGGATGTTTCATTTTGACAGTGTTGTGAGAAGCTTTTGCTTATATTAACAATGACGGTAACAAAGGCTGTATGTTGTGAAAGGCCTCTCTGGTAGCAGCTGACTAGAGCTTAAAGAGCATGCTTTAGCTCCTTACTTTTCGGGTGTACAGTATAACTACAGATATTCCAGGATTTACCAGGTTGTATACTGTAACAGTATACAACAGGTTGGTTAAACATGGCAAAGCCTAGACTAAGACTTTACAGATTGCTGAAACTGCCTTAATATCAATGGGGAGATGTTTGACAATCCAGTCAGAGTCATAAAGAACTAAAATAAGTTGTTTTGACAGGAAGAAATTATTTACGAGCAGTACAAAGAGAGTGCAAGAGATAATCTGGAGACTATAGAAAGAGACCTGGTCTCAGCATCATGGAGTCTGTCTGGTGTCATAAGGGGAAAAAAAGACACTGAGAGAGTCAAATCCACAGAAAAACTGGTAAGTTCAGCAATTTTCCTGCCAAGTACCTTGATAAACTCAAAAAACAACTGGAAGGCAGAAATGTTTTGCATATTTGGCACAGAGAAATAAGTTGAAAGGAAATGACAAGGACTCACATCCAATCATCATCATGGCTACAGCAAAGATCTTCTCTCCATCTGTGTTTGGTGCTATGTTTCCAAAGCCAATACTGGTCAGACTGGTCATGGTAAAGTACAACGAAGTGATGTAGGCTGAGTCTTTACCGGGCCCGCCCTCCCAGATGCCTGAGCTCGAGGCATTGAATCTGTATGGCGTCCCAACTGTCTCTCCTAACAGGTACAACCAGCTGTCCATCCTCACAGTGTTGGTGTTCTCATCAATCACCTCATAGTATCCGATGCTGTACCAGATACAGGCCAGCCAGTGGGCTGCCAGGCCAAACACACAAACCAGCAAAACCAGCACAGCAGCGCCATACTCAATGTAATGATCCAGCTTTCTGGCAACTCGACCCAAACGCAGCAGACGTACCACTTTGAGAGAGCTAAAAAGGCTGCTGATTCCCTGCAAGTGAAAGAAGAGATAAAGCAGATAAGAGAAAATATGACACCGTAGGAGGGAGGGGGACAAATAAAGAGAAAAAAGGTGAAAGAAGAGTACAGAAACAATTAATTTTATGAAAGATTTTTCTTGTTTCAAACATTCAGCTCATCATGGGAATCTAAGGGGCCTTTTCCATCAAACATGCTGGCATCAGTTCACACAAACTGTGTGCTTATAATAACTTTGCTATTATTGTTATTTTTGCCATGTAACCTATAATTATGCAGGATCACATCATCATCTAATCAGTATGTGACATGTCAGTCACGTATCTTGTTATGTGAAGATCTTGTTGAATGAGTGTAAACTTGAACCAGATTTCAAACTAAAGGAAACAGATTTTATCAATAAAAACAAACTGTGAAATATTGATGTCTTTGTTTTTGCTGTCCATTGCATCTTTTAGCCTGCATCAATCTCGATTGTAATTTCTCATGTAATAAAACACTTTTAACGCTCAGTGTTACGTATTTATATTGGGGCCTCTCTTTGTGTTGAGTGGAAACTGAGTGGAGACTTTCATTGATGCTTTTTTTTGGAAATGGTTGACCTGAAAATTCACTTCATTACAAGCTGTTTTCTTGCTCTTCCTTCATTTGTTTTCTTTGATTTGTCTTCAAATTATTATATAAACTGCTGTCATCCACAGGTGTTTTATTTAATCTAATTTCATGAATCAAATGTATATTATGACAATCCAGACATCGCAATTTGTCATATAATTGCTTTGCTGACTTGAGGAGTGGTCTTGCTGGATCAGATCAGTTGCATATCATTTTCTGTGAATCCTATAAGCCACTGCTTAATGAAATTCAAACATAGGAAAGGATATAAAGAAAATCACAGTCTATTATCTGGAGTGTCAGCAGTTTCATTTTTAATATAAGCATATTTTGAATTTGATACCAGTAACATATTTCAGACAGACATGTTCCCACTGTTGTTGTATAATATAAACATTTGTGTGCAGAAAGAACTTGCTTAACTTATATAATTGCTATGTATAAAGTTTTGAGGCTTCTTCCTTGGCATGACATTAGTTTGGGCAGTTTGAGGTGTTTTATTTTTATCATAAGTTTATTTTATATTTCTTGTAAAGTCCAAATTACAGTTTAAAAAGTTTTTAGGCCACCAACATTAGAAGAGTTTATCCTCTTGCCATCACAAATAGCTTTGCAAAATTTATTGCAAGCTTGTGTTAGTCCTGCATCAGGTTGGTGACCTGTTCAGAGTGTACCTCGCTATGGTAGCTGAGATAGGCTACAGCCACCTTGCGACCCTAATAAGGATAAGTGGAAGAGAACGGGGGCAGCACGGTGGCACGGTGGTTAGCACTGTTGCCTCACAGCAAGAAGGTCCTGAGTTCAATTCCACCATCAGGCCGGGGTCTTTCTGTGTGGAGTTTGCATGTTCTCCCCGTGTTTGCGTGGGTTCTCTCCGGGTACTCCGGCTTCCTCCCACTGTCCAAAGACATGCAGCTTGTGGGGATAGGTTAATTGGATAATCCAAATTGCCACTAGGTGTGAATGTGAGTGTGAATGGTTGTCTGTCCCTATGTGTTAGCCCTGCGACAGACTGGCGACCTGTCCAAGGTGTACCCTGCCTCTCGCCCTATGACAGCTGGGATAGGCTCCAGCGCCCCCCGCGACCCTGAAAAGGATAAGCGGAAGTGAATGGATGGATGGATGGAAGAGAACGGATCAATAGATCTCTTTATTCACCAATTTACCCCCCCTCATTTCTAGGAATACCAACAAATCATTTGTTTGTTTTTTTCCCCCCCATGTCCTTGACATAATTCATTAAAATTATTGTTAAATGATAAGTTCTGTTTTCTGGTTATCATAGAAATAATTATTTATTGATGACAATACATGTTAATAAGAAGCTGAACTGCCATGTTTGCTTTATTTTTTGTTATTTTTATTTTGTAAGACTGTTAATCCAACATTCTAATCTAATTCTAATCTATAATTTCAGTACATGACACCAAACCAATTGTGATGATATGGTCTGACACAGAACATGATGGCAACAGTATTGAATCCCATTGTTGAATCCCATTTATTTTAGTTTAGTTGAATTTGTTTTTCTTTCATGCCTCTACAATCTTGCGTTGAGATCAGGGGTGGTACCTCTGGATTGGCAAACCAGGGGTGTGGTTCCCATCTTCAAATAAGGGAGACCGGAAGGTGTGCTCCAACTATGGGGGGATCACACTCCTCAGCCTCCCTGGGAAAGTCTATGCCAAGGTGCTGGAGTCCGTCCGTTAGTCCAACCATGGTACAGGAGGAACAATGTGGTTCTTGTCCCAGTCGAGGAACACTAGACCAGCTCTTTACCTTCTTGAGGTTACTTGAGGACGCCTGGGAGTTTGCCCAACAAGTCTACATGTATTTTAAGGACATGGAGAAGGCATTTGACCGTACCCCTCAGACTGTCCTGTGGGAGGTGCTTCGGGAGTATGGGGTGTTTGGCCCATTGCTATGGGCCATTCGATCCTTATACAACTGCTAAAAGAGCTTGGTCTGCGTAGCCAGCAATAAGTTGGACTCATTGGGTGTTGGACTCCACCAGGGCTGCCCTTTTCTGTTCAGAATTTTTATGGACAGAATTTCTAGGCGCAGCCAAGTGGGGGAAGGCTTATACTTGGGTGGTCTAAGAATCTGATCTCTGCTTTTTGCAGATGATGTGGTTCTATTGGCTTCATCAAGTGACAGCCAGCAGCTCCGAGTGTGAAGTAGCGGCAATGAGAATCAGCACCTCCAAAAGTCAGAAAAGGGTGGAGTGCCGACTTAAGTGCAGGGATGTGTTCCTGCCCCAAGTTGAGGAGTTTAAGTATCTCAGGGTCTTGTTCATGAGTGATGGGAGAAGTAAGCAGGAGATTGACAGACAGATTGGTGCTGCAGCAGCAGTGATGCCCTGTACCGGTTCGTCGTGGGGAATTGAGAGCTGAGTATAAAAGCGAGGCTCTCAGTTTACCGGTTGATCTATGTCCCTACCCTCACCTATTGTCACGAGTTTTGGGTAGTGACCAAAAGAATGAGATTGCGGATACAAGTGGTGGAAATGAACTTTCTCTCAAGATTTACCTGGCCTCTCCCTAAGAGATAGGGTGAGGAGTTCAGCCATTTGGGTGGGGCTCAGAGTAGGAAAGGAGCCAGTGAGGAAGTTCAGGCATCTGACAAGAATGCCTCCTGGGCGCCTCCTGGGTGAGGTGTTCTGGGCATTGAATGAGGCTACGGGGCAGACACAGGAAACACTGGAGAGATTATTTTTCTTGGCTGGCCTAGGAAATCCTTTGACAAGCTAGAGGAGGTACCCAGGAGAGGGAGTCCAGGGCTTCTCTGCTTAGGCTGGCCCTGTAACCTGGCCCTGGATTAGCTGAAGAAAATGGATGGATGGATGGATGGATGGATGGATGGATGGATGGATGGATGGATGGATGG